TGATCATTTCTTTCCTTCATGTATATATCTTACTGTCCTAAATCAAACTGTAAATTCTTTCCACAGGACAGTGCTTTTCCCAGATCTTCTAACTTCATATACCAGCAAAATTTAAAAGAAGGGGAACCAAACTTCTAGAGGGTGGTCAAGGGTGAACATTAATTATCACTGTCATCTACTTGGGTTTTCTCTCCAATCCCATTTCACATGGTTACAGCAAATACCACCAAGTTCTAATAGTACAACATAGTTTGTTGAACAGGGGAAGAATGGGCACTAGATGAATCTCTTTCCTGTTGTCTGGGCTAATACTGAAAAAACCGAGAGATGCTGGCAGCCTTATTTTCCATTAAGAGGACTAGGAAGTGATCCTCTGCAGCAAGAGAAGAAATAAAGGAAATGCATGTGGAGAAGAGAGAGATGAAGTGTATCATGCTGGTACTGGATGGAATCCTGAGTCTCAACCTTCGGATTCCCTCAGATACTCCTTGCATCTTTATAATAAATCTTACCTCTTGTTTATATCACTTAGATGAATTTCTATTACTTAGAGCCAAAAGTAGCCTACTTACTACAACTACCATCTACTCAGAAAGGGACACTTTAACAAAAGTTGAGGAAGGACAGAACCTCAGATTTTTTTTTTAAAAAAAGGAATATTTATTTAATGACAGCTGTGTGCCAGGAACAGGTCTGAGTCCTTGAAATATAGTTAAATAAAAGAGCTACAACTAGTGTTTCCACGGGGCTTACATTCTAGTGAGAGTAGACAGATAATAAAATAATATAAAAATACAATTTCAGATAGTGATAAGCGGTTTACAGAAAATTTTTTAAAGGTAATGAGATAGAAGGAAATAAGGATAGTGTCATTCTAATCGGGTGGTTAGAGAATACTGCTTATCTGAGAAGACAATATGTGAACTGAAACCTGAAATGATGAAAAGGAGCCAGTCATGTAGTGTTTTAGGGAGAGAATTCCAGACAGAGTGAACAGTCCTAAGTCAGGAACAAACCATGACATTTCTGAGGGACAAAAAGAAGGGCAATGCCGAAAGAATATAGTGAACGAGGAGGATGTTACAGAAGTGGTAAAGGAGTAACAGATCTAAGAGGAAAGGATGTGAGTTGGGATCAATTCATGTATAGGAACTAGTAGACAGTGGAAAGAATTTTAATAACTTGAGCTTTACAAAAAACACACTATATTACCTTTAATTCTCATACTGCCTTGCATCAGTGATAACTTTAAGAAAACAGGCCTTAAAAATTACCATCCCCAAGCATTTGACACAATCCTGAAGTTAGCTAGAAAGGAGTATGTCCTAAGCAGAAAATATCATTTCTAGTATACCATGAACATTTAAAAAAAAAAATTTTAGGACAAAAGCAAAGCCATTTAAAAAGAAAAATCTAGGATGATAAAATGATAGAACTATAAATTCTATCCCATCTACTATGATCAAGAATGTACAAAGGTCTTAGCTATGAAAGAACATAAACCTTAAGCTCTTTATAAGCTACTATAAACATAACATCCTTTGTTTACTGAGTTCACTATTATTGAATTGGACATTGCCAAAAGGGGAAACCAGACTTCTGACTTTAAGAATAGCCACAATATAATGGTCAACAAAGTCGTGAGTTTTAATTTTATCTTTACTATTAAGAAAAAGGAAGAACTTCCCCTTTGTGGTGAAACTGGGTACAAGGGATGTTGTGATAGCTCCTCCTCTGAAAGCTTTTTAAAATAGAAGCCCAATCTGTTTGAAGAGGTCCAGATATAGTACACCTGTATCTCCAGATCTTTCCAGACGGCTAATATCTGTGTACACTAAGCATGTAATTAAACCTACATTGCTACCAAGATTAATGTCAGTAAAGTCAGACTTTGAAAGCTCTAATGTAGTCATGAATCTCATCTTTCATCATGTGAGATATTTAGTTAGCTCACTTAACAACAGACCAAAAAGTAGACTGTTAATAACACAATCTATAAAGAGAGGTACTTTGTGAGTGGTGGTGTGAGTTAAAAAAATAAAAGTCACTAGACACCTTGATCAAGACTTGATTCAGAGTGCATCCTCCCCAACACATTTCCAGCAGTTTGGCAAATTGCCCAGGGATGATTAGCAGCCAGTGTATGTAAGGGAGGGATATGGTCAACCTAAAGTGTATAAAGTCTCCCCCTAGTGGTCACAGACAAATAAGAAGAGTGGGGAAATCATTGCAGCCTCTGTGAGACTGACCAAAAATACACCATACAGAACCTGGTCCCTACAAGAAAGAAATAAAATTTTTAATTCAATACTAGCAACCTATCAGTAAAGCGATTTTTATGCTTATCTGCTCTTATGATATTCATAAATGTAAAGCCCATTTTTGGAAGGAAAGAACCTACAGGTAAAATAAAACTAGCATATTTTTTCTCAGTATATTTTTTTAAAGGAATAAACAGTATCTTCAGACAGCCCAGTATTTGTTTTATCTAAAACAGGCAGATGTTCACTCTTCCTGAAATAAATATCAGCACATCCCTTGCAAGTTAACCATATTTACCTGAAGTAGAGTTCTGGCACAAATTTAGTCATTTACCAAATGAACTGCCTTGAAAAAGAAAATTATCAGTGCAACACACTCTTTCAAAAACCACCTAGAACTAGATAATTTATAATACAGTAAGTGATGTCAAATATACAAATGGGTTCTCTTGCTTCTTTTAATATTTGTTTTCTTGGTGTTTTTACAATTGGATAGCCTTTCACCAGCACTAACCCTGTATTATTTGCAACTCTCAACAATAATTTGCTGTTACTCGCTTTTAACAAAGCTTGGATGTCAAAAATGTGAAAGGCGTTTAATTAAAACATCTGCTGTCTTCCAACCATCCATTAAGTGGTAAAGTACATTAAAAAAAGATGGTAAATACTCAACCTCAATTTAAAAACAGCCTTTTAAAAAAGGTAACACAATTATGGTTGTCTTGGTTATCCCAAGCTAAAAGGGGGGGGGGAGAGGGGAAGGAGGGAGGGAAGCAGGGGGTGTAGTCTTCTGGAACAATTTCAGCCTGAAATGAGACTCAGGAAAAATAAAGCAAACCCCTCCCTCAAATATTTAAGAAAAATAGGATTCATTTTTTTAAAAATCCAACAGTTGGCTCAAAGAACAAAAAAATGATTCTGTCTTATTTAGCGCTTCCAGACTTGCTCAAGCACCTTAATTTTTCCAGTGTTTATTTAATCTAAAATGTAAAATAATTCATTTTCAAATTCCAGGTGAGAAAGGAACTGAGTAGCACCAATTGGAAAAGGACACACACACACACACACACACACACACACACACACGGATGTTTTTTCATAAAGATATTTAGTGTGAAACCCCAAAGGACAAAACAGAACAATTAAAAGTGTTACCATTTGAATATTATGTAACCCTAGTCTAAAATAAAAGAAACATGGACCTTAAAAAGTAACATGTTGTGCAAACATATTTTTAAACATGTACTTAAATACATGATAGATTTCAGATACAAATGACCTCAAAATGACACAACCCACAAAAGTTCTTTGTTTACTGTAATGAGGCCTCAGAACATATGACTATAATCAGGCCTGATACCTTACCATAACTGAACAGGAGGTACCTAAAATAAGCAATATTACCTAAGGTCTGTTGTTATACGTAGTACCGCAACTATCTCCGCATTGATAACACTGTTACCTCGCCTAATATATTCGACATACATAAGTTTCCAAACGACGATTTGAAAGATTTCACGGGTAGAAATGGCTGCTAAATCATACTCCAATTGAAGAGCATTTTAACACACCTCAAATGTTCCGAGCCATATTACAAGACGACCAATTCAGGAAGCATAAAGTAAAATTCCAACAACCCCCAAAGGCGTAGGAAAGAGTAAAACGTGGCTAGCTTGACCTTAACAGGCTGTTTATAAGTAATGCGGAGAATTTTCTGAGCTTCCCAATCAGCCCTCAATTCCCTTCCTCGCTTGTCCCCAACCCCCTTAAATAAATGCAAGCCCCAACTGATGAAGTTTAATGGATGTAATCTCCAGCTGTAATCCCAGGAGCTGGTGAGATTGAGACTAAACTCCCAATAAAGTGTTAAAAAAAGTCCTTCTGGAAAGGAAAAAAACACATATATATCCACCAACCAATCCACAGCCTGTCATCATACCGGCCGTATGATCCCTCACTTGACTCCCTCCCGGCCCTCCACCCTGCCAAAAAAAAAAAAAAAAAAAAAAAGCCCCAGTACCTTTCTGGTTCCAGATTATGTACCCAGGATCCGAAAACACTGCCTCAGCAGCGAACGCCTCCGGAGCAACGTGTGCTCGGCCCACAACCACTTCGACCAAACGAGTCTCGTGCCTCGGAAGTAGCAGTAATAGTTGCAGAAAGCCTCCTCCCCCAAGAACTTGGGGCTCGGGAGCACGCCAGAAGCCGGCTGAATCGCCCCCTCTCGACACTGACCCCGAAGGTGTCAGTCACAGCAACTACCGCCCCCGGCGCGGCTCCCCATTCATGCCTTAAACGCCACTCCCGCCGCAGAGGGTGTAGGCGCCCGCGCACCGCTCCCGGCCCCGGAGGGGGCCCCGCGCGCCCCCAGCCCCAGCCTTGCCCCAACCGGGGCCGCGCCGGGGAGCGCGTGGAGAGAGCGGGGCGCCGCGCGGCGGAGGGCAGCATGGGCCAGACACGTTGCCGCGCTCCGGCCCGCCCGCAGCACCGGAGCCAGGGGCCCGGCAAAGCGCGCCCTATGCGCCTGCCGGGCCGGGTCAGGCGCGCTAGCAGCCCTCCCCAGCCGCGCCGCCTCCGCCGCCCCGGCCCCCCGCGCGCCGAGCCCAGGTGCTGAGGGGGCGGGGCGGGCCGGGGTCCCCGCGTGGCGCACGGCGACGAGCAACAGGGCGCCCCCCCCCGACCGTCTCGGCGCGCGGCGAGACCGTTACCCGAGCAGCGTGGGGGCCCCAGCAAACTCACCGGCTCGCACCTCGGCCGCCTCCGCGCCGCCACCGCTCCCCTGCGCCCGCCGCTGCTGCTCTCTCTCAGCCGCAGGCGCCGCCGAGCAGCCCCATCTACAAACTCGGGGCTCGTAGTTGGGAATTGGAAAAGCGGTTCTCACTCCTCTCCGCGCCCCTTCCCTCCGCCCCCTCCCTCGCTCCCCACTCCGCCCCGGCTCCGGTCGCCGGCGCCGCCGCCGCCGCCACCGCCGCCACCGCGCGCTCGGCCAGCCTCCCCTCAGCCGCCCTCCTCCTCCTCCGCTTCCCCCTCCTCCTCCTCGCGCCGCCGCTGCCGGGGGCGCGCTCCCTCCCGGCCTCGCGCGTGCGCCGGACGCCGGGGAGCGCGCGCTCGGGCGCGAGGAGGCGTCGCCACCTCCGCGAAGCTCGGCCCCGCCCCTCCGGCCGCGGCGCGGCGGCCAGGTGGAGCCCCCCTCCCAGCGCCCGCAGACCGCGCCCGCGGCGCCGAGGCCTGACAGCGCCGCCTGCGCCCGGCGGCCTCTCCCAGGGTCTCCCGGCGCCGGCCGCCAACCGCGCCCGCGAGAGGGTCGGTCAGACCCAATCCCCCAATCCGCGCCTGGGCTTCCGTCCGAAATCGCCGCTGTCATTCAGCATTTACTGATAGGCGAGGTTCTCCATGGGGCATAAAGGAGGCTCTTCCCTGCCCTTTCCAAGAGTTTACATTCAAAGAACCCAGTCATGGGGCACAAAGCATAAACAGACTCGAAGAAAAGCCTCTGGAGAATCTCCTCCCTTCCCCTTCACACACACAACCCTGGTTCTGATGTGTGTTTGGCAGGGTCTACAGCGCTGAGGTGTCCTTCACGAATTTTCTCCCAAAGGCCCAACTGGGGAGTGTGATTCACACCCGAGGAAATGGACTGACATGAGCTCTTCTCCTAGCACCCAGTATCCCGTGGAACTCCCGGAGCCGGCTTCGCCGGACATTCCCAGGACACCAGGTGCTCAGCTCTTCCCAAACATCTGGCCTTCCCAGACCTCCGAAGGGGCGACTTCGCCATCCTTGCCACCTCAACTCTGACCCTGCGGAGAGTATGGTGAACTGTGAGGAGTGTCCGGGCCTGAGATGACACATTTTGACAGGAGCGCAGATTTAAGTTTTCAGTTGAAAGGAACTGAGCAATGCAGTGCAACAAAGACTCTGGCCGGAAAAACAGCAAGGATTCCAATTCCTTTAACATCTACCTAATCCCAGAAGATGTCTGTGAACTGTCAGACCTGTGATTGGGGGCTTTTGAAACAGCTGTTGTGTTCTTCCTGAAATTGGAGAAACTATGAAGATGTTATTTAAATTTTACAAAATGTTTACTGCAGTCCTTACAAACAGTGGCTGTAGAAAGTGCAAATAAAACTTGACATGTGAGGAATATCCCATCAGGAGACCTCTATGCAGCCTTTCTTGGCTTCTCTTGGGCGTGCTGCACAGTGCAGCAAAAGCAGGATAGTATACGGTAAATGTTTGCAGAATGAATGGATGCATCGTGGTCCTTTGGACTCAGAGATGGAGTTTCAAACTATGTAGGCTCCCCCCTCTCTGTGAGTGTGGTTAGCATGAAAGAGAGGGAGAGAATACTATGGATGAGGTGTATTAAGAAGGCCTAGTTCCCTAAAGAGTGTTTTTTTCTCCTTAGCCTCAACCAAGCATCAAAGATTAATTTACTTTTCCAGTAGGATCATTAATTTTGCAAACACGCAGGGGGAGTTTGTAGAGTATTAATTGAGAAACTTCTTTCCTGGAACATCAAACCTGAGGAGGGGAAATTGGAAGCATTGGAAGCATTTATGGAGACTTGAAGGTACTAAGGGGAACAGAGTAGCTTTGGGCACATGTGCTGCCCCCCCCCCCCCCACCCCGTAGTCAGGCCAGCTGGATGAAATGAAGTAGAGTGGGTGGTGTGCCCAAGAGTGAGGCAAGGTGGAGGCAGAATGGACGAAGGAGGCTTCTCTTTTCAGAGACTCGACATAAATTTGACATCTTCCTTTTCCTCCTCTTTGCTTCCCAGGCTCATTTGCTTCCCACAGGATACCCAGTGGCTCATTCCTGCTGCACCCCACCCAGGCCTCTGAACTTTTATTCTCCCTTCTGATCCCCAATTTCACCACATCCCCTCCTGCCCAGCTAGTGCCTGAAGCTCCTCTGGGGGGAGGGGATGAATGTCATTTTGGGGTGTGTTTTTGATCCCTACTGTGCACTTTTATTTTCTCAAGGGTCTTCTGGAAACAATGTCCTAACTTCCTACTCTACCTCCATTCCCTGCAAATAGGAGGAAGTTTTGGGGAGAGAGAGACAGGGGAGTCTCTGCCTCTCAAATCACATGTAGACCTCGCTGCCTTACAGCTAGGACCAGCCCTGGCTAGCTCCCTTATTCTTGCATGTACCAAGGACCCAGCGTTTGGGAGCAGGAACAATTATATTTTATTTACAATCCTAAGTTTATTCTCTAAATAATGACATCAGCTATTAGATGGAGGCTTATCACAGTTTTCTGCCTCTGATCCTCAGAGCCAGAAAAATGATTTTGCTCCACAACTATTGCTTCAATTGCTTCTCTTTAGGATTCTCTTGCCAGTGAAGTTTCTCTTTCAGCATCTATATTTTATCAAATGCTCATATACAGGTTATATTATGAAACACTACTTTTTATAAATAATATGCCACTTTATGACATTCTGCCCTTCCTCTAAACTTTAGAGGTGGGACATGCCAGAATAAATTTAAAGTGATCTAATAGGAACATTGGAACTCTCATCATTGCTTGCCAGCCCACCTTTCTGAGAGGTCATAATTTCTGAGACGCTACCCATCCATTTCCCGTATCTGTTACAACTTCTTCATTCCAGAAAGGGGAATGTTATGATTGAAAATGATGGGGAATCCTTCTCTTCAGTGTCCTTAATGATCTGACTTTTCATTTCCTTCAAGGTTACTCTAGAGGGATAATTTCATCACAGCCTGATATCTCCTAACCATAACTCAATTTAAAGTCTGAATTTTGATTCTTAATTCCAGAGCATCCATCATTGGCTCTATTTCCTCCTTCCAGTATAAACAAAAGCTTCCATACTTTTAATATGATTGTGTTTTCTTTTCTCTTCTGACCTGCTTTGCTACTTCAGAAACTGAAAATTTTACTAAAGAACAAGCCCCAAATTTTAGCAGAGCAAGTTACTTGCTCGTTTTCCAACTAATCCATCATAATAAGAGCAGTGATGCTCCTGGAATATAGCTTTATGAAAAATTGCAACTGACATGCATCACAAAGTCCAGCCAAGCTTTCCCCCAGAATACTTTATTTAGCCTCACCCCTTTTATCTCTGTTCACTAAGCTAGGTCAGACTCCAATTTCCAGCCTCCTTGCTAACCTTTCTAATTCAAGTCTCTCTCTTGCTTGCTTGCAATTTTCCCTACACTTAGAACAGTGCTTCTTGCTTTTGGCTATGTATTGGGATCATCCAGAGAACTTTAAAAACGAAAAAACAAACAAACAAAAATCACTAATAGCTGGGTCTTGCCTCTAGATTTAATTGGTCTGGGGTGCAGCATGGGCACCAGGATTTTTCAGAGCTCTGCAGGTAATTCTAATATGTAGCTAGAGTTAAGAACTACTGAAATTAGTCATCTTCCAAACAACATTTATACCAAGTCTTCTCAGAACATTGGGGTGGCTCCAAATTACCTCAAGTAATCAAATTAAAATACCTAATCCTGTGCTTTAAGACTCTTTGCCAATTGACTAGAATAGTCCCCTTTCAAAACAGCTTAAATTTATCTCCTTCCTAAAGCTTCTCCAGATTAGTCTAACCTGGCTGCCTAAAGATCGCTGTTCCCAATTCTCTGAGCATTCCATCTGGCACTGGTTTACAAGCCCCTGGACCACAGTTGATTGTGTATATTATTGTTTTAACCCAGCTTTCATAGATACCTGTCAGAGGCTTTTCCTGTCATCTAAATCTGAATTCCCACTAGGTCAACAGACAATCTCAAAATAAACAGAAATGTTATTCTTAGCAGAACTTTCTTCTACCCATCTGAAATCAGAACATTCCCTGACACAACGGCAGTTCATTTTTTGATCACCACAATTAAAGCCAACAGTTATAAAAATTTATGTGTTTGGGGTTCTTTCTTGTTTCTTATAAAATAAGAACTATATATCTCAGTATATCTCCGACTCTCCTTACCACCACTCATTTACTTTAGATAATGGAATTTTCTTCCACACCCACCTCTCTATTAAAACTATGTCACAACTGACGTTTTCATTCATGTGTTTATTCATTCATTCACTCATTTGTTAGTGATAATTGCTGGAAATAAAATAACATTATCAAAGTATCCCTACCTTATGGTGGAGAATAATAAGCAATTAAAATATCATGTGATAAGTGCTATATCAGGAGTCTTAAGCAGACACAATAGAATCGTGAGGGGAGAGTCTTCGCTTAGTGTTCAAACAATCCAACTTCTCCGCTGTGTTTGAAGAGGTTGACCAGCACACCCATACCTTTTAAACCTCTCCTTTTCTTTCATTCTTCTGATACTATACAACCCAGAAACTTCTTCAACTTCTCTGATTATTCCTTGTCTGACCCCTTGTTGCGTATCTCCTCCCACTTCCTAAATTAAAATATTACACTAAGAAGGAAGAGACTTTTGAGGGAGAAAGTGTAGAAAAAGAGACCACTGCTTCTCTCAAGAATATCATGACCCTTAGAACGCCATCTTCAATGCTTCCACATCTGTATCTACAGTTCTATGCTCCCCTGAGGGATGTTTTCAACTTCCTGTTGAATGTCTCCAGCTGGATAAGCCATTCAAGCTCAAATTAACATGTCTAAAATAAAATTCATTGCTTCTGCTACCCTACTCAATCCCCTCCTTCTGCTACCCTACTCAATCCCCTCCTGCGAATTTGCACCTCCCTTTCCTCACCTCTTTTTACCCTCTGCATAACAGAGACAGCCTGCACCCAGGTCCCTTGAAGTTCACCTTCTCAATGTTACAGGAGTAGATTCTCTTGTCCATTTCCTCTAACCCTACAGAGTCTCCTTGCCCAATCTCATGAGCACCTGAATGCCAGGTGTCAAGCATATCATC